CCACAACGCCTGGCTATTTTTTTGGTTACAGCCGTCATAGTTGTTTGGCGGGCTGGGCTGGGTTCAAACCCGCCACCTTAGGTGTATGTGGCAGGCCCCCATAGATTTCATATCTACCTCTCAAGTACAGCACCTCTTTCTAAAAGAAGGAGGAAATATTTCCTAACAAAGGAGTATTCTACATGGTGAGAATAAGGATGAAGGAAAACACAGATATGTTGCTGTGCACCAGTCCAGTAGAAAACACAAAATTTCCATGTTAGAGACAAAGGACTTCACCACCCACAGCACAGCAAGCAGCAGGAGCAGCAGCATAACTTTGTCGGTTTTCTTTGTCCCCATGTCTCATGAGGACCAGATCATTATTATTGCACTTGCAGAGGTTTTGTGCCCCAACTGAGGAACACAGAGCTTGGGGAATCCAATTCTGTTATAGCAAGTAAAGCAAGACTGGTCTTTGTCCTGGGAGGAGTCACTACCTCATCTGTCAAAGTTGCTTGCTGCAAACACAACGCTGAGCAAGGGTCAGATAAAAAGTGGTCAGAGCCTTGAACTATCGGCATTGCAGCAAGAATGTGGAGGGGCCTTCAGGAATCATAGCTGATTGGTTCTCTCAACAGTGACAATGTGTCCTGACCTGCTCAGCACGGTCCTAGATCATCCTCATTGTCCATGCCAAATTATTAACATGCCCCCCCCTACATTCTCAAAGGCACTGTGGATCCAGGTTTTGTGGAACCTAAAGATATGTTAATTTGGAGAACATTGAGAAAATGAAATAAAATCTCAAATATAAAATTACATATAAAAGTAAGTATCTATACAAGGGATTACATATAAAAGTAAATATCTATACAAGGGATATAGATTACAAGGGGTAATTGAAGCTACATTACAAATTCTCATTTTAAACAATCACTTACACAATCACTCTATTTGGGGGCACCTTACCATGAGTCAGATACTATGCTAAGCACTTTGTGTATGTTATTTTATCCTCACAACGACTTTTAGGCTGTAGGTTAATTCCCAATTTAGAAATTAAATGATGAAATTGAGGATCAGAATTTGGAGATTAAATTCTTTTCTTTTTTTTTAATTTATTTTATTTTATTTTTTGGTTTTAGGATTTTTCAATAGATGCCTTTAATAAAACTGAGGAACCTTCCTTCTACTCTCTATTAGCTATTTTTGGTTGGTTTTGTTTTGGTCATGAAGGGTGCTGAATTTTATCAAATACTTTTCTACACCTATTGAAATGATCACATGGTTTTTCTCTTTTGTTCTGTTCATGTAGTGAGTTACACAGATTAATTTTCAAATGTTAGATCATTGTATTCCTAGGGTAAATACCCCCATCCCTTGGGGACTGGTACCAAGACTGCTGGGGATACTAAAATTCATGGATGCTCAAGTCCCTTGTATTATATGGTTTAGTATTTACATATAATCTATACACTAGTTCCTGTATTATTTTTATTTTTTTTAGAGACGGAGTCTTACTTTGTCACCCTCAGTAGAGTGCTGTGTTGTCACAGCTCACAGCAACCTCCAGCTCTTGGGCTTAGGCCATTCTCTTGCCTCAGCCCC